CAGCTTAATGCGATCAGAATCTGTCAGCTCTGGGAGATTTGCTCTGTAAATAAATGACTTAGGCACCAGGAATTAAGAGGGGGAAAGCCAGAAGTCATGGTCCCAAAACATTTGCTCCTCTCACTGTAAATCTCACAAAGGATGAAATGTTTCTGTGTGGGAGAGATGGATGCGTGTGTATTTCTAACATTACTCTTGCAGCTTGACTACTGCCATGCATGCAAGGAAACTCAACAGCAGTAAAAGAAGGATGAACTGAAAGTTTTGCATGGATGCCTCCTTGTCTCTCGCTCTTTGGCATGTAGAACTACAGACAGCGAGTGAGGCTGAGTGAAGCAAGGCATAAATGCTTTTGTCAGTACAAACATACATCTCTAAGTCAATTCTGGCTTAGGGGCCCAAGTCACTTTGGCATGACTGAAAACATTACTCAAAGATTTACCACTGTGTTTGGAAAGCTGAGGGTTGGGAAGCTTTTGAGCAGTATTGGCACAGTGCTTCATACAGCAGAGCCCTCAGCTGTGATGCGGTCCCTTAGCAATATGGCAGGATTAGTACCGACAATAACAAGAAGCAGAAAGAACACACAGCCCAGAGGCTTATGTGCTGAAAATTTTAAGTAGCAAGTGGTTACAAGTGTTGCTTACAAAGTCATTGCAAAGCCTGGAGGAGGAGACAAAATGGATGTTTCCTCTCTGTGCCTGACCTGCAAGCAGCCTGCAGGAGATAGCAGCGTATTTGTTCCTCGTTTGAGCTGATGTGGAAAGTCTTCTGATTTCTGTTTAAGCTGGCAGTGGCTTAGGTCCTGTCCTTTAAAGCAGAAGCATCAGAGCCACTTATTGTACATCTAAGGTCATGATGCATTCCTCTCCTATCTGAAACTAGGACTTCCATCTTCACCATACACAATTTCCAAATATTTCCATGTCCATCAGAAAGTAGGATATTTAGAATTTTTCCATCCATATCTTCTGTTTTGCTTTTGTGAGCCAGCTGCAGGGAACAGAACCAGCGTTCTCTCTTTTTTTCTCATGTAATGCCAAAGGCAGTGTTGTTGCTCTGCTTTTTTAGAAAAAAATGAAATTCTAAAAATTTCACTTTGCCTTTGGGGAAAAGAAGACATGTCCTCTCCCACCTCATACTTTATTTTTTTTTTGTATCCACAGTACAGTGAAAAGAATTTTATTTTTGTTGCTTTTGCTCGTTGTGCAGTAAGTGTATTTGCTACTTCTTTGAAACATCGGGATGAACATCTGGTTTTGGTGCTCACCACTCTGCCAAGTCGGGAAGCTTTGAATGTTTTGCCAAACCATTTACCCAGCCCTGAATTTATAACTAATATCAGGAAAATCACTAGGGGAAAATGTAAGCAACTGCGGACTGTGTAACAGCCAAGGTCAATTCTTAAAGGATAATTTTTACTGTATTAATTTTATCAATGTGGTTCACAGACAGCTGCCTCTGGTTCACAGCAGTGTATTCATATCAATGAGCAGCTTTGAAAATATGTAACCCAAATACTTTCATAATGAATGTAAGTTAGTGAAATAATTTGGGGAAATAAAAATGGATTTTGGAACTGAGTCATCAGCAAGTGATAGATACGAAACAAAACAAGTTGCCTCAATGTGTTAAGAAACCAGATATAGAGCTTCAAAGCCTCAGAAGAGCCACATAAATAAAGAACAAAAATATGCCATGAAACAGACAGAATTACAGCAAAGAGGCAAGTACGAAGAAGCAGCGCAATGCATTAGGAAAAGTTTTCTTTACAGCGAGTGTAATTAAGTGCTGAAGCAGGTTACTTAAGGGTGCGGTGGAACTGCCATTGCTGGAATTTTTCAAGGATCATGCTAAACAAGTATCTGCCAGGAGAGTTTTCAGGAGAGTACGTCCTGATTTAGATTATCTCCTAAGGGTTTTTTAAAATTTTCTTCAATATGGTAAACAGAAGAAAAAAAAAATCCTGGAACAAATCTCTCCTACCTTCCCACGCACTGTCCAGAGCTAACTGTGCTTTTACTTAGAGGTTTTATAGCTGCTTTTCTGCCTGCCCCCTCAGCCGCCCGCCTTGGGTTCGCTTCCCAGCCTTTCCAGGGTTTACTTTTCATCTGGCTCCTCTGCTCACGACACTTACCTCAAACCTGAGCCATCAGATAAACTGCTGCCAAGGCTTCAGTGGCAAATAAACATCGGACTGTGAATTAGAAACAGAAAATGAGGTTTAAGGCGGGGGGGGGCGGCAGGAAACGGCCCAACGCGGCCCAGCGAGGCCTGAGGCCCTGCCCCGCCGGCAACGGCACCGGCCCCGCGCGCTGCCCGACAGCGCCCCCTGCCGGCCGCGCGGGGGCACCGCCGGTGGAGGGCGAGCGGGTTCCGTGCGGGCCGTGCTGCGGGACGGGCCCCGGGCGGGCTCGGCAAAGCGGGTACCGGGGAGGGGTCCCCGGGGAGGCTGAGGTGTCCCCTCGGCACTGACCGCGTGTCCCAGCCGCAGGCAAAGCTCGGCCCCTGCGGGCTGGCACCACCCGCCCCTCGCTGCCAAGAGGATTAAAATCCTTCTACCTGAGGGGATTTATTGGTCCATACTGGCTAAATACGAGCCAGCAGGGTGGCCAGGAAGGCCAACAGCATCCTGGCTTCTGTCAGAACTAGCGTGGCCAGCAGGACTAGGGCAGTGATGGTCCCCCTGTGCTCGGCTCTGCTGAGGCCCCACCTCAGACCCGGTGCTCAGTTTTGGGCCCCTCACCGCAAGGAACAGAAACCCCAGCTGGGCAGCTGAACGCGGGAAATCAGTTGCTCTCTCTGGACTCGCCAGGTCACTTGCCTGTACAAATGCCAAGTTTGCTGGCGCTTTTCAGAAAGAATTGGTTTTAGCACTCACCAGAAGCAACGTCTGTCTTCGTGAGCCCTTCCTGGGGGCTGACAGGCCCCTGCTGTGAAGCTGTGCAGGGTGGATCACTGTAGGAAGCCCTCTGCCCACCCTGTCCTGTCTCCAGGGCTGGATGCTGGCTCTTGTTTCCACTGGCCTCATGGGGTCCATGCCGTACAGCAGTGGTGTGATCTCTCAAAGCCTTTGAACCCTCAGGGTCTTCACTCCTGGCCCCATGGGTGCTCCCAAGGCCAATCTGTCCTGACTCTCCTCACGTGTTCCAGCTGTCTCCCTGAGAGCTGAGCAAAGAGGCAAAGACAAACTCCTCAGACAAAATGTATTTAGTCATGCAGGTTCGTTCTTAGCTCCGTATTTGGTCACGAGTAATTAAAAAAGCCCCCGGCACCATTTTATATGCCTCTGGGTATATAGTGCAGCGCAGAAGCAGTCATCTGAGGCAATGGAAACTTCTGCTTCCTTCCATCACAGTGTTAAACCAGTATGGACATTTATAGCAATTGCGGTTCACTCTGGCTATTTCTCTGGCTCACACATCAGTCAGAGCAATTCTTGTGACTAGTGGCCATGTTTGAATTAATAGCAACTGGCCTTGGCATCATCACACTTTCCAAGGTGCATCCCTCAAGCCGTCAGCCAGCCAGGGACTGACATGCTGAAGTGTCTTCCAGCCTCTGTATAATAGTCACAAACATACCTTCAACCTGCTCCTGCACGAAGCAGTCCCCTTGTGTTACTGTTTTGACCTTCCCATCAGTGCTGCGAGGTGCTTGTGCTTCTGCACAGGACACAGCACAGAAAAGTTAAATAAACGAGTGAGTTTCTCTGCTTTGTGAGTTGCCCAGTTATTGGTCAGGTTCTGCCGCACTGGAACCACTCTGGATTTAAAATCTTCCTTGTGCATTTCCCCGCATGCGTATGTGTATATATAGGGATACATATAGATTTACTTCTCGCTTCATTGCCATGCTTCCCTCCAAAATGTTTGGGCAAGGCCACAGGGACCTCTGGCCATACAGAACCATAACTCAGAATGATTCAGGCTGTAAGGAACACGAATGAAGAAGTGGTTGGGAACAACCAGCATGGATTTTCCAAAGGCATATGGTGCCTGACCAGCCTGATTACCTTGAAGAATGAGAAGACAGGCTCTGTGGATGGGGAGAGAGAATGTTATTCACCTTGACTCCATCAAGGTTTTCAGCACAGTCTCCTAATGCATTTTTGTAGCCAAATTGATGTGAGAGAGATTGAAAAAGAGGACTATAAGCTGGGAGGTGTATTTCCTGGGCCGCTAGGCTCACAGGGTGAGGATATCAGCAGTGCAAAGTCCATCTGGCAGCAAGTCACTAGCAGCATCCTGCAGGCTCGCTCTTAGCAGCCTAGGCAACAGGACAGAATCTGCCCTCAGCAAGTTCATGGAGGACATCAAGTTAGGGGAGAGCATTTGGCACATTGAAGGGGAGGGCTGTGAGACACACTAAGCCCCACAGCCTTATGAGCTGGGAACTGATGGGCTGGAGGTCCTGATGCACTAAGCAAGAGTCGCACACTGGCGGCAATGAAGGCTAACAGCCAACTGGGCTGTATCAGCATGAGCATAGCCTGCAGATGGAGCCAAGTGATTCTTCACCTTTACTCATTATATCACAATGGTGGTGTAATTACATCACTAGTTCACCACACTTTACTCGTTACACCACATCTGGAACCCTGGTCCAGATCTGGGGACGCCAGCATAAGAAAGATAGAGAAAAGCTTGAGTAAGATCAGCAGAAGGTAAATTTTTAATATTTTTGCAGACATAAGGAAAAAATTAAGCTTAATTTTTTGAAAAGAAACCTAGAAGTCTTTCAAAATGACACCCACAATGATACACATTTGATAATATTCAAAAAATAATAATACATTAGGAACATAGTAATGACAAAAACAGTGATAAACCTACGCTGCTTTACATGTACATTTATCATTAGGAAGTGCAAATACATCATTTTCATAATGACTTTGATAAAGACTAAAAAATGCAAATGTGCTTTGACCATGCAAATTTACCAGTTGAAATTGTATATGTATTAACCTTCCTATTTCCAGTTTAAAAAATTGAAAAACGAAGGTAAAAGTATTGAATGTAAGAAGTTAAACAATTGACTAAAATTAATCCAGCTAGTGCAATGGTGGAAGAACCTGGTGAGGGTTTTTCTGGGTTGACGCAGAAGAGTACATTCAGCCTCCCCAGATACTCTGCTCTGTCTGCAGTGACGTATTCTGAGATACTACAAAGGGTCCATCCAGGTGTCTTCAAAGTTACAGAGCTCCTCAATGAGAAGAGTCCTAGAGCCAACTCCCATTTTCTGCACTTCCATCTACAGCCTTTTTTTCCACAACTGTCCCATTTGCATTGCTTGTTTCTTCTAAAACTAGCACTAAATTTGACAGAGTTGTGTGAGGATCAAGCAGTTTCAGAAGAGGTATGTCCACCTTTCTCTCTCGAAAGACACGGTTCTGAATTGTCATAGCTAACATAGAGTCCATGCCCAATGATGAAAGCGGCGTATTCATGGTTAGTTCATCTGGCTTCAGCCTGGTGAGGTCACTCACCAGTGAGATGATATAGTCTTCAGATTTGATTAAGGCAGTATCCTGGACTTGAGTTTCCTCAGAGGTTTCAATCTTACTCCTTAATTCTTCTGACATAAGTGACACAAAGCGGCTTTTGAGTGAAACAATCCGAGTAAAAACATGAGTCGATAAAGTCTGAAAGTTTAATTTGACGACAGCTTGCTGTGGCTTATTCAGAAGTAAGCTCTTCCTGAGATAGTCATGAATTTCATCCACTTGCAGAATGTCTATGCCCTTGGATTCCAGAACATTCTGAATATGGGTTTGATTGAGCAGTATGCCAAGGTTCAGTGCACCCCAGTTAATGGCTTGACCTGCAAGCCCACAGTTCCTCCTGTAGAGGCAGAAGACATCCAAGAAAGAGTTGGCAGCTGCGTAGTTTGCCTGGGTGGAATTTCCCAGAAAGGAAGTTACAGAGGAATAGCACACAAAGTAGTCAAGCTCCTGGCCTCTGGTAGCCCAATGAAGATTTAGGGTCCCTGCTACTTTGGGGCTCAGCACTTTCTGAAAGTCAGCCAAGGTCAGAGTTTCAACATGGCCATCGTGTAAAACAACAGCACTTTGAAATACTCCTTTGACTGGACTCCCTGCAGAGATGTTTGCAATGGTCCGGAAAGCTTTCTCAGCATCACTGGTCGAAGTCACATCACACTGCACAAACACTACTTTGCTCCCCTTATACCGCTGCTCCAGAGCCTTCAGCTCATCTTGCTTCTCTTTGCTTGGACTTTTCCTGGAGAGTATTGCAATACACCCCCCTCCATTCTCCGCAATGAATTTCACTGTTTCAAAGCCAAGTCCAGTGAGCCCTCCAACTACTACATAAACACCATTCTGCTTAAACAACTGCTTCTGGGATTCATAAAACGGTATATCTGAAAGCATGGTGATGTCCCTCTGCATTCTCAGTACAGCAAGTGGGACAGATTTGCAGGTAAAATAAGACGTTACAGAGTTAATCCTTTCAAAGTTCTCGGTCTGCTGAAAAACAGAACCTGAGAGTTGTCTAAACCGTTTCATGTCCATGGAGTTGATCCACGCATGCACAGTCTTTTGCAAGTCCTTTAGAGATGCCTTCTGGAAAAGGCTGGCAACTGTAAGGATATGAAAGCTGACATTTTCATCATCAATTCCAGTGATATTCTGCATACATTCAGACTGTCGATTGCCACACACTATCACCACATCTTTAAGAA